GGGAAAGATGTTTCACACGGCCAGTTTAGTGTCTGTCTGTGTCTGTCTCTGCCCCCACTGAGGGCAGCAGGCCCTTTATCTATGGTCTTCGTACAGCCTCCTGGAGCCGGGGGGTCAGATGGCCTTGATGAGAGTAAGTTGTATGAACATGATGAGCGAGTAGCAAGGACAGAAAGAAATATAAAAATAAGAAATATGAAAGCTATAAATGAATTAACTAAATGAACATAATTAAATAACTACAAATTAACTAGGGAAATCCCTCTAGGTTAAACATTTAATTTGAAACATGACTACAATGCAAGGGTAAATAGTCTCTTTAGGGGTACCAACAAATCTGTCCATACTATTTTAGCATATCTTTGCAAAATAAACAACAAATCATTTCTTTTCACAATTTTATTGGTTTCCTCTATCACATACTAAAGACATGCAGGTATACATTAGACAATTACCTTAACTGAATCGCTTTTCAGGAGAAATGCAGCACTGTTTCAATGAGCTGTAAGGGTACTAACAAATTTGTCTACATCTGTAGGCCTACATAGTTATATTCCTGCAGATATCCACTCATATTCTCACGTGTACCTTAGAGAAATTAGGAAACATTTAAAGAAATGTAACCATGTATTTTTCTTTATCAGTTTGCCTCTTATAAGACCTATTATAGCAGAGTATTTTCTTTGTTTAAACTAATTCAGAGACACCCCCCTTCTCTCTGCATTCCAGAGGAATCGTAAATTACCCAAAGAGTGCCCTTTCATGTTTCCTTTGTCTCAACCACTCCATACAACAAATGATTGAATTAATATATGTGTTGTTAAACATGGATATCAAGTTATATAATGTAATAATCCCAAATTAACTACAAATTAGAATTTACAAATGCTTGATTTAAACTATTACTCTATGAAACTAATGACCACTCATTAGACTAACCTAGAATTAAGAAGAGCTGTTTGTAATTTGGATCAGAACTTCTGTAAAACTTATCTAAATGTGTCAATTTCTGATTATGTGCAACGTCCAATGTACCGATACGAATAACAATAAGATAAACAAGTACGGTGTAATACGATGGTATTAAGAATTAATTAATGCAGATCGTACAAGGTGTGAACTTCCAGATTGTGATGTCAAATTTGGTGTCAAATTAACGGAAAAAATCTCCTAAATACGAATCTGATCGTGGATTGTCACGTAATTAGCGCATATCTAAAGTTACATACTTTTAATTAAAGTCAACTCTAAAGTTGCTTCAGTATAAAGTCGTAATTCCATCGGGCTGTTATACACACCCCTAGAGCAGGACTCCGGTCGAATGTCCCCGATCATTGGTCCGAGTGTCGAATTCCCAAGGATCAATATTCATGACTTTAAAATCACACACCTCGGATTACTCCAGTTGTGGAGCAGAACTGAAAGACTGAAGACCAGCCGCCACCCAAGGGGGGAGAAGAAGCCGCAAACTACGGAAAAGCCGCAAGACCCAGGATACCGCTCCAGACCTCGCTCCCAGAACTCCATCTCTCCATTATCTCATCACCTCTCCAGAAAACATCCCGAGGCTCCACCCACAACCACGTAAATTCCCTTTCATTCATTTGATCGTCTATCCTTTCCTGTTCAGCTGTTTCATAATTTTGGGTTGCGCTTTCAAGGCCAAGGCCTTGCTGTGCAGAACAGTATTTTCCTTTAGGATTACCCATTTAAATTAAGTTACTGCCTTCCCTTATTCCATCCTGCTCATTGATTTTAGTTTGTTTTATTCTGTTATTTTGTGTTAGTTTTATGTTAAGTGCAATGCCTGTCATGTGTTAGTTGTAGTGTTAGAAATAAATCTTAAATCTCAGTCTTACTCCGTCTGAGTGAATGCACATAATAAAGTCACTTTACTGGTGCAAAATCGCTGCTAAGTTTTAAGTCCCAAATTTACCCTAAAGTACCGCGAGACACTCTCTACGGCTGTGAGCAGATGTTTGGTGCTACATACCTGGTGAGAATTATGTTTGCAGGTTGAATGCTCTAACCCAAGTTAACCCAAGTGGCTAATTGGTACTTCCATAATATTGTTTGTTGGAGAAACAAAGCATTCAAGCATAATAATTAATTATTAATAATTAATTAATAATCCAATAATTAATTTCCCTACATGTTGGTGGAGACACAAATTATTTGAGCTAATTTTTCCTACGGTGTCCCTTCCTAACAAGGGAACTGGAGTATATTCTGATATTAATATTGGTATTTCCACACATTTCTGTCCCACCTGGACCCTTACTGGAGAAGATTTTTTCATCTTTTAGTCTTACACAAGTCAATGTGGTTCCTGTATCTGTTATCATGGGTACCGTTTTACCATTTATGGGAACTGGCAGCATCGGTTCATCCTCAGATCCCCTATTCAACATTGGCATCAGAGGCCCCTTAATGATTATATAAGACAGATAACATAAGACAAACCATGTCCTGTATTGATTCACAAAGGAACACTATTTTATTTATCAATACGGGATTGACCCTGTAATATACAGGGCAGGTAGTGACTGAACTGAACATTTTTTTTTAATTTCATGAAAGATTTTTGGTTAATTATAGCAAGAGAGCACAAGAGTAGAGAGAGAGCAAGACAGATAGAGAGAGCGCCCGTTTTTCTCTGACAGAGGTACCCACTGGCCTGTGGTCTTTGGGTGTTGATGAGGTAAAGTTCATAAAATTCACATTCTGACTAATTTTATACTTACCATTGTGTTACTGGGGGTCTGCCAAATTTTATTCTCAGAGTGGTTTAAATAGGGTGACATTTAATAGATACAATTAACTAAATGTGATAAACAAGACTAATGGTAATGGTCCTAATACATGGGACTACTCAAAGCAACATATTCACATTGACCATGGTATAACAAACAGAATAATACCAAATGATAGGTTTAATGGTATGGGCTATATAGATTGAGGTTAACCTAGCAAATTAATTGCACAACTACTAGGTATATTGAATGTATATATTGGGATAATACCATCACGGTTATATAGAAAGATCTAGATTTACTATTTGACATACAATTATTAGTGCTATCCTTAAATAAATCCTACAATACTATCAGTGTGTAAGAAGTCATATCCCATGAGCCTGATGACTCTTTATGTGAGTGTGACAGCCCAAATTCACCAAGGTGGGGAACCTCTCTGCAAGAGTGAGATCTTTAGTTCATTGTTCCTCCTTTGGAGCCATTTATAATGTCATAAATGGGTGGATGTTTAGTGGCTTTCTGAGGATGTAGGTTTCTTTTTTCTTGTGGCAAGAGCTTTGGAAAGATGTTCTGATAGTTCATCTAGCACTGCGGTAGGTTATCATCGTCAGAGGGTTTATGGCCCTTCAGAGGGTCTGTCATCCTGCAGTTTTATGGTGGGATGGTATGCAAGGCTCTCTGATTAGGTTCCCCTTATGTGAACAAGCCCCACGATGTAAGAACACAGGGAGAAATGATCTGAAGGCATGAAGGCAGTATTAGTTGTCTTTATTAAATTTCCTTTGTTGTGGGCCAGGCTTACTTCCGTGTCCCCATATTGGCTACATGTCTAGTGGAGAAAATGTGATGCAGTGCACTATGAGGTGTCCTTACAATAGTCTAAACAGTCCCAATGGGTACCCTTCCAAAAAATAGAATGCAATGCTGTAAAAGGTGATGTGATTAAAATGTGATGCAAGGCTGCAAGATATGGTGTCTATTCATGTGCGTGAATGTGGGGAATTCTCCTAATTGTGAAGAAAATGTGATGTAGTGCCATTTAAGGAGCCCTTACAATTTTGTAACTTCTGGGTGTCTTTCTGGTGGAAAAGCCCAATAGAAATACCCTCTAAGATGCCCTTCCAAGTGAGCAAACATGATGAAGTGAACTTGGGATGGAGGGGAAAAACTTCTCTGATGGGTGGGGGTTGCATGTCATGCAATAGGTGTCTTTTCTATTCTTTTGTCCCTACCCTTCAAACAGCCTGGCCTGCTGCGGCCTGAGATGTAACTGATGACTTGTCAGTTTATACAGCACTTGGAACAAAAGAGTAAGACTTTTTTTCCATTAATACCTATGTACGCATTTACAGATTTGTCCACACGTACAAATCTCAGTACACTTGCAAATCTCAATACGAATACAAATCTCAATACGCACACGGATTCTGAATACACATTTACAGATTCCTGTACACATTTGTAAATCTCAGTATGCATTTACAATTTTTTTTACACATTTACAAATGTGTAAAAAGTCACAGTCACAGAATTCTCCATACAGACTTGCAAATAATTTTGCTACAATATAATTCACATCCTGGACGAGCCCATATGCAATGCAGTTAACAAATGGAGATCCTTAGTTTGTGTGATAGACTTTCTGAACCAATCTGCTTGTGCACAGTACCATTTACCACAATATAATTCACACACACACACATGCACACACACACAAATTTGTATGTAATTATATATTTGTGGGGACTCTTCATTCATTTTTATGGGTAAAAACTCTAATAATAACATGACAACTTTAACCCCTAACCAACCCTAACTTTAACTATAAATAACCAAACAAAATACCAGACTTTTGTCATTTTTAGTTCTTTGATTCTTTGCGGGGACGTTAAAAATTGGTCCCCACAATGACAAAATAACGACATTTGATATACACACACACACACACACACACACACACACACACACACTCCTCACCGATCTTAATTAAAGTGTTATTTTATTTCAACCGACCAGTTGAGTACTCCGTGATTCTTTATACGCAGCTGGTTGGTTGAAACAAAATCTTGGTCTGGATTTTAAATTTCTGGACATCCACCTCTGTTACGGGGAAGCATACATTTCAGAGCACCCTTGCTGAAAAGTAAACCCACAGCACCAACAAAAGAAAATCTCTGACGCCGCCTTACGGAGAGGCTTGTTCTTAGATAATCGAGCACGGAGAAAGGGGGTAAGTCAAGCATCTCGATTCCGGTCGGAGGATCAATGTGAAGGCGGGAGACTCTGAGCTGAAACGGGTTCCGCCTCCGCCTAAGCTCACGTGGTTGGGCGACGTGAGGGAAACAGAGGTCTGAAAACGGGAAGTGTGTATCCTGTTGGTTATACACCACTGTTTTGGCAGATTATTATTAACATTATTGTTGGCAACGGTGGATGTTAAAAATGATCAGTGGTGGTCATCGGAAAAGGGGGAAATTTCCGCCCGGTCCGCGACAACATGCCCCGAGTTTGCTTCCTGAGCACGGAGGACCGAGTGGGCCTCCCGATCCGGGAGGATTTTCAGCTGGGCACCTGACGGACTTGAACTACGAGCCGCTGCCCGGGGCACGATATGGACAGATGCGTCCGAGCTCGGAGCCTAGCGAGTGGGGACCCGATTCGGTGTGCCGTGGTTTCCGGCACGTGATGGGAAGCAGCTTTGGGTCCCCGGCGGCCCTGGAGAAAGGATTCGGAACGGTGAATCACCGAGACACGCTCCTTTCTTCGTTTCGACTAGGCGAGGTAACCCACTATTTAGTTTAGCTCATCGTTACCTAGATGGTACAATTTAATAGTATCTTATCCGTCCAGCTGCGTTATCGCTGACTGCGAATCGCCCAAAACGAAACGAGAGACCGACCTATTGATCCCAGTCACTTAGTGTTTGGTCATGTTGATTTTGCACTGTTTAATGTCTATTTCATGTCAGAGTCGAGTATGAAAGGTTACGAAACTTGAACAGGAAGTGTGCAAGTCAATCAAATCAAAGTGGTGTAATCTACAGCTACTTTTATAGCCGTGACCTGTGTACGTTTAACTTGTCATTATATGGTTATGTCGTTCTATACGTTCCTGCATGTTTCCATTCAGGGCGAAATGTTTAGCGATAGACGAGAGGACGCCCAGTGGTGGCCAAACGAAGACCCACGCTTCGGACAAGGCACGGAGTCACCGCGGACACAGCTGTCGGCATGGAAACGTGCTGCGGTGCGTTGTGTTTGTGAACTCTGGGGCATGGGGTGGCTCCTCATCCCTAATGTGTTATTTGTCAATGGTCGTCTGAGCTGTTTTATTGCATGTAAGTACAGGATAAACTGTATTATGTACCAGCGACTGCTTAGCGAGGGGTCATGTGAGCCGGGGGATGGGTGGACCGGCAGGCTAAGATAACAGCAGAGTAACAAGGTGTAACTCTTGGTCAGTGTGGTTAACGGTCGTCATATTCTCGACACTTCATGCCCTGATAAGAAACAAAAGGTCGGCCCAAAGGCAGAATTTGTAACTTATTCGAAAACTTGTAGGATTGGACCCTTGGGAGGGTTAACCTCGGAGAGGGCTGGCACATTAGCAGTATTGGAGGCCACCCCTGATTTAATTTGCTGGGGGGATGCTAAATGTGTTTGAAAAACACAGGACAAATTGATAAATGGATTTAGAATAATAATTTACCAGGGGGCTGAGACAAAAAAAGGGTTGCTGAAGCCCACCCCAAATACAGTCTAGAATTACCTATGACTACAAGTGTAATATCAATAGTCAAGATATTGACATGTAATAAATGTCCCAGAGATGTCCGTGTTCTCTTCCAGTAAATCACCATGCATGTGTAAGAACTTTGGAAGCAGTTTGGTTGGGTTCTCTGGTCTTTGAGAAATATTTATATGTCAATGGAAGGGAATTTTCTTTCTGTAGGGACCCAACCACTGCAGCCAAACTGAAGGAAAGATTCCAGAGCTGCCCCAGGTCAAGCCGTCAGAGCCTCCTAATCCAGTGCAGTCAGGCAGCGCTAGGAAGTAAGGCTAATCTTACCTGACCCTCTGCTGTCAAGCTATTGCATGTTAGGGGGTGTGTGTAGCTGCAGGTTTGTGGGGTCCTTTGCCCAGTTTTATTAGAATATTAGGACACTCTAAATGTCTAAATGTTTCTTGGGGATCTTTGTTTTTGTAGGTGTCGGTTAAATGTAAGCTAATGTTATGTGAGTTTGATTTCATATTCCAGTTTACTCTGAATAGCAGAGTAACAGGATTGGTCTGTCAGTCTGATTGTTAGTGTGACATTACATGACATTAAAAAGATCACTAGTGTTAATGTGGATATGTAAAATATTCTTCAGTTTCTATGGCTTATTTTGAATTTGAAGAGTTATCACTCCTTGCAAATTTATGTAACAACCTTCAAAAAAGAGAAAAATAACCTTCAAAAGAATTTCCCGGAGTGTAACAATCTAGTCGTGATGGGTTTCTTAATGTATGTCGCTGAAGCATTTTTGTATCTTCACCCACTTGGCTGGCTGAATGAGTTTTTCAGCCTTGGTTGTAACAAAAATCCTTGAATGTGGTTTCGCAGCTCTCCCGTTATCGCTCTTAGCCTGACAGCTTATTGCATCATATGTGCTAGTTCTCTCCTTCACCCTGGTTTCTTTTTTCAAGGCCACCACCTGGACGATATGAGGGAATTATCTCCTTTGTTGATGTGAGTAGCCACAACTTTAGCTGCATTTCATCAAGAGCGGTGCTATTCTGAGATTTTAGGCTGTTACGCCAAGGCCTTTGAGTTTCAGCTTATTTTTGAGCATTCTGTGAGTCTCTAAAGAATGACCTTCCTTTTCTCTAGAATAATTATGGCTTCATCGAAAGAGGTGACCTGAAGCACATCCCCTTCAGTTTTCCAGCCTTCTGGGGAGATCCTTCACATATGATACCTGGAGTGAAGGTTCAGTTCACCCTGTGCAAGGAGAAGGTGAGCCTGTAACGGCACAGCTGGAGAGCGGCTGACATCTCTGGTAGAAAATTAAAGAAGAGGGAAGGAGGGCTGGACAGGAAGTGAATGATGGGACCATGGTCAAGCCTTGACTTGTTTGTCTGTATTTGTATTTCTGAATGTCCTTGCCCAGGCAAGAAACTGGGGAAAGCTGAGACAGCAGTATGCTAGGGGAAAGAGCATTGTGGATGTTCCAAGATATGGGGAAAACAGGCAACTGCCCATCAGCGTCAGAACATATTAAACGGTTACCAGTAAAAAGCATGTGTTTCAGGTCCTGCATGGGTGGAGAGTAATATTCATTCTAATATTCAGTTGCGCATTTATTAAGGAAATGTATAATTTTTATACCATTTTATTCAGTAATCACTCTCTACTTTTTATGAAATCAGTGTTTGTGTTGGTTTCCTTCGTAATGATGGATCGATGAATAGTGTGTCACACACATGACTGAGCCAATTTGACGTATTGCATGACTCATTTATGACCCTTCGGCATAACATTGGCAGCCCTCTTTGTTTTTCCATCTGTATGTTGGCGCGCTCAGGGAAAGGAGTGTGCCACGGATGTAATGGTGGTGCCAGGCGGCACAGAGGAAGTGCATGATGAGGTCTTTGACGGAGTCGTCACTAGAGCTCCGTGGGAGTGCAAGGTAAGAGGAATGAGGTTCTGCTGTGTTTCGGGACTATAAAGACATCTGTTTTTTTGGAATCATTACCATAAGTGAATGTGTAGATTTTGCTGGAGATAACCTTCACTTTGGGTGCTTTTCCACTGTTTCCACTTACGTTTGCTGTTGGTATTAATATAGTACTCTTATATACTATAGCCATTGCAAAATGCCCTGCCTTGCATTATTATAGCATTCAGCAATGATACCAGTTTTTATGCTAGTGGAAACCCAACACAAGAAGTAACATACTTTTGGTCCTTTTAATTATAATGTGCATGTTACGCAGCATACCCTAAGCAAAGAGGATCTTGTATATGTCTGGCCATGTAAGGAAGGAGTTTGGTAACTGGTATCATTTGGGGCTTTTTCTTACAACCTTACTGTTGGACTGCACATCAATCTTCTGGTCACATGCAGAGTTAATCAAAAATTCAGTTTATCAAACAAACCAAATGTGTTCAGTTAGTTTGTAAGCTTTGTAAAGAAGGACTACTAGGCAGATGCTTCTTCCAGTCAGTATTTATCTATCTATTTATTTATTTATTGCAAAGGATGTCCATTGGCAGTTCTATATCGTTTAACAAAAGTCAGTGTAAAGCACCTTAAGTTAGAACTTTTTAGGTAATCTTTATTGCCATCTGTGTTTTTTAAATTTTTACCTGCTCAAGTTATTATATATTTTTGATAATTACAAACTTGTATATATGACGCAGCTTTCACCTTTAATATAGCCTTAGCTGCTTGCATAGCATGAAAACTCAATTACCTTTACTTCCCTCCTCCGGCAAGCATAGCAGAGTTGTGCTTCTGCATCAGGAGTCAGCCTTGGAGTGCTGGAAGACGAGAGAGGTTTTTGAGAACATACTTTGTGTCCGCTTATCCTGCCCCTCCCCCACAGGCATATGAGAAGAGGACCAAGGGGACCCTGGGCTGCCTACAAGCCTGGCTTTTTGGAAGCAAGATGGATTTACTGTTTGGTGAAGGGGACAGCAGGGTTACCCTGTTGCCGGGGGACCACGTGCGCTTCCGCCTCTTCACTGATCTGGTTACCAAATGCAAGAGGGCGGGCCACATTGAGCCAAGGCTGGAGACCTTCCAGTTCACCACGGAGACACGGGAGATGGTGAGAAACAGGAGTCTGACTGTTTACAGAGAAAACAGATGGGAAGATTAAGGTGGGCAAAATGTGTCCAAGAATAAAGTATGCTGGAAAGGTTTTGTTAACTAGGGGGGTTAACGGTGTTAGGATTTTTCATATTTTTCCCAATATATGGCATTTTTGGTCTGTAGAACTGTTTGGAACTCCTATGTAGTTTGTCCCCCATCTTGTTTTCTCACCCCCCAGGGCATTATAATGAGCATTACTGCTAGTGCTGGTTCAATTATGTCTGAGCACCTGGGCAACATTATCTTCAATACCAAAGAGAACCTGAATGAGGACGAGCTTAAGGCCGGGGATGAAGTGGAGTTCACGGTCATTCCTGTGAGGACATCTCTCTCTCCTCTGAAATCCTAGTTAGAGGTTGTGTGTGAGTGTGCATGTGTTTGGGCCAGGGTTGTTGTACTCGGACAATATTTGCACTTGAGTCGCATTCTTGTGATTCGGACATGAACTAGTGACATATGTGACTTGGACTTGCACTTGGACTCCATGATTTCATGGCATGCCTCATTCCTTGGTAGAGGTGCACCGATCCGATATTTAGGATTGGTATCGACACCGATCCGTACTTATGAAATGGATTGGGTATCGGCCATATGTGACCTATCCACGTCCAATGCTTACTTATTCAGTTCTTGGAAGTCAGTAAAAAGATTCTATTTCTTTTTAGATTGGTTTGTACAATCAATTGCACGACGGCTCTTGCTCATTTTATTTGTGTGTTTTGCGACATTCAACCTGAAAGCTAATGCTGCCACTCAGTTTTTTTTGCCTCTCAGTGGGTGTGAGCTTAGTGATATCTGCCTGCTGTGAAGTCCATATGGATACCCTTTGCAGTAGGAGCAGCATAAGAATTTCAGATAAGAGGGTGACGATCTGGAAGTATTTTAAACAAAGTTGAGGTGGAGAGCTGGAAGTAGTGTTTAGTGGAAAATCCCACTAAACAAAGCACATGCAGTTGTGCAAGACAACGCAAGTAATATGAAAAATGCAATGGATGATATGGGAGTCGCTAGCTTGGGCTGATTTGCACACTCGCTACAGCATGTGATACAGGGGTGGCTGCTGTTGCAATGAAGTGTAAGTTACGCTGTTGCCAGTGGGAGAAAAATTGTGGGGCATTTTAAGCATTCGCCACATACTCTCTTGGAAGATATTCAGATTGAACTGCAAATGGCTCTAATACGTAAAACAAGATGTACAAACAAGGTGGAACAGTATGTTATGTATGTTTCTAGTTGCCTAATTCAAGATTTTTTTGGCATACAATCACATGCACATTATTCAGTTGTATTTACTAGTTTAAAATATATTAATATATAAAGTATGAATGTTTATATATTATCCATTATATTAAAATATGAAAGTAAAAAGAGCTCTTTTATCGGAATCTGTATCAGTATCAGCAGTTATGATCGGAATCGGATCGGAACTAAAAAAAAAAGTATATTGGCCCATCCTTAGTCCTTAGACTTGATCACAAAAAGGCATATAAAGTCTGCATTACGCACAAACACATTACAAGCTAATTAACATAACTATACAGTGGTACCTCAGAACTCGAATTTAATCCTTTCAGAACTCCGGATCGAATCCTAAAAAGTTCGAGTTGTGATCGAATTTTCCCCATAAGAAATAATGGAAAACCAATTAATTGGTTCCCGGCCCCAAAAAATTACACCGAAATATGTTTTTTAAGCATTTAAACACAAAATGTACCAGATAAAACAAGAAGAGCATATACTGTACTAAACACATCTAAGCACATTTACCAAACCAGTAATTTGTAAAGTAAGAAAATAAATGTATCCAAACAATGTGTCCTGCCCCGATCGTCCGCTCCTTCCGTGTGCCACACCCCCTCGTTAACCCCATGTGATCAGCTGTTTCTGGTTGTTGTCATTAGTCCTCTGTATTTCGTCCGTGTTTCATTTTGTTTCCCCAGTCCACTGCACTGCCTTGATACTTGCACACTGTGCAAAGTTAATATCAACATGGCATTTCATACATATGCAATCGTCACATCCCAAGGATCACAATAGTCTGCTGCCTTCAACCCATCAATAAGTTACACTAAAACATTTTTATTTGATCATAGGAAACCAAACTTGGCAAGCTTTTCAATTTTAATGATGGTCCCTTTTCAACATTATCTAGGCTATCTGTTTTTTTTTTTTTTTTAATCTAAAGTTTCCTGCAGCTGCTTTAACATCTGCTGTCCGAGACGATCACAATCATTAACGTTCTTGCTGCTGGACTCACACACAGATCTTGTGGCACGTTTGTGTGAAATTAAATTAAAATAAGTGAAGCTAGGAAAAGTGAACTGGTCACGAAAAGACATTCATCTTGAGTTGTATGGAAATATTTTGTAATCTATGGACATGTGATATGAGCAGAATCAAGTCAGTTTTCAGTTCTGCATTGTGTCTGCTGGCACAATGCAAGGCACCACTAACTTATCTGCCAGACGCTGTTGATAGTTTTTGCCAAATAGAGCTTTTCCAGTATCATTCAGCTGTAACACACAATACTTTCACAAGAAATAACTAATTCTAATTTGTTATATGTGCTGTATTACGTAAAATTATGTGGCAAATAGACAGAGCTAACCTTTGTTGTAGAAGTGATTATTCACTTTCATTCACTTTTAATGTGAAAAGCATCCACACAAATGATGCTTTTGCTCTTTATTTGGATCCTCATCCACTATGTGCCATCTTCCTGCCACCATATCGCCGGATAATTGATTGGGGAAAATTTTAATCGATGCCTTTTCATAATCAAGTAATCAAGTTTAATCGAGTAATCGTGACAGCTCTGATTTTGTACATTAGATTTGCCTTTGTTTTTGTACATTTAATTTTGTAATGTATGTAATGACTTGGACTCTTGGACTTGTGACTTGGGATTGAGAGACCCTGGTGTGTGCGTGCCTTCTGGCTGATGTGTTAGGTGTTTTTACAGTAAAACTGTTTGTGCCAGATATTTGCCATTTGTGTCTTGTCAGCTGGTTCCTATCCAGCTGGTTTGTATCAAAATGATATTGAGCTGAAAAAATCATAATACTAAACTGTATCGATCTTTTCTCCCACCTCTACAAAATGACGTAGCTGTGTCGTGTAAAATTAATTTTTATGACAGTGCTATTTATATTAGTTTTTTTCTCAAATGAAGGCCGGTGTGCTATCTTTTTTTATGAGGGAGAAACATTAAGTCAGAAACCAAAATTAAAGTCAAATTTATATTTTGACTTCTGTTACAATTGTTTTTACGACCATTTTGCATTCAGTTGACTCAAGTCTGCTATCGGGGCCATCTTTAACAAACTGTGCCGTTTCTATAGGCAAGGTCCTCGGAGAAACAGAAGGCCATTCGTCTGAAGAAGTTGTCTTCTGACAACCCTGCGATGGTGACCAAGGCCAAAGAGAACACTGCAGAGGCCAAGGACAAGGTATGTTTATGCATGGCCAGTGTTAAGTTGGTACTTGTATCCTTTGTTTTTGAAAGTGCCTGAGAGCATCCTTGGTGTGAACCCAAGGAAGGCTACCAACTGAAGATCTCAAATACAACTTGCATGAAAGATGAGTCTAAGACAAGGATCAGTGAATAGATACCCAACCACTGTCAGAGGCCAGGGTATAGGAGATGGAACTGTTTCACCATTTAGACCCTATAGGGTTCATAATGGAGGCTGAGACTAGGTGGGTCATCTACATACCATAGATCAGGACCAATAGAATGGGAAGTAATAATGGGCAATTCAGTCTTACTGGAACCTAAGGGTGTACTTAGACTAGGCCATCCATAACATGCAGAAACACATTTGACCCCTAACATTTGACTAGTGTGATCGAAGACATGGGCCTGTGCACTGTTCAGTTGGACTGATGCACTACACATGAACCAGACCCAGAATAAATGGAATGGCTAGGATACACAGATTGTCTTTTTTGCACAAATGCGTTGCAAAAAATTTACTCAGATTGGGTAACGACAGACATGGTGGCAATGAATCACTTTGGTCTATGGCAGAGGTGTGCGGTGTTTGCTATAAATCTGGGCTGACGAGAGTATGCAGGAACAACTGGATGCAATACACAAAAGTAATTCTTATTCGTGCAGCACAATTAAATGAGAATTACAACGTTGCATACTCTAAATATTTGAGGGCTGTGTGTCATCTCGTCCAAAAAGGCTCCAAATAAGCCACAAAACAAGGACATTAATCATGAGCTCCATTATGCTGTGCAATAGCACATTTCTTCCTATTTTTTTTTTCTCTTCTCAACACAAAAAGTCGCAGTGATGAAAGTGTGCTCGAGCCCGGAGCGTTAAGTGCAACGTGAGTGTAGACCAGCGGGGGAGTTGGGAAGGGGACTATTGTGCTCAAGCATGGTACGAGGCAACTGGACCAAGTGTGAGGCTGCCCTAAGAAACACTTATTTTATTTCACGTCCACTCTAGTGCTCATGTCATAATGAGACTGAAATCATATTTGCTTTTAATAGCAACAGTGACTGCTGCCTGTCATCCACGCTCCCCTGGTCACTGCAGAAGCTTTAGTGAATTGGCTGTACTTAGCTCGAAACCATCTTTGAGAATGCCAAGTCCTTTTGAATTGTTTGGTAATTTCAGTGTTGGCCAAGTTCTTGTTATGCCTCACTCACTTTAGGTCAACTGACATCTGTCTTTTGCAGTGGAAAACCATGGTGTCAGAGGTGCTGCCTCAGAGGACTGTCATCTTTGAAGATGTCAGCCCTGATCAGTACAAGGGCACCATCCTCATACCCATTTCAAAGGAGCCACCGACACAGCAGGTGCACTGAAAGTTTGCTGCTCAGGATGAAGACATACTCTGTTTAGTGCTATAGACAGTCTGTCTACCCAGCATCTACCTATACCCTGAACATTATGTGTCAGTAGCAACTATTCAATTATGTTAGCAAAACATGCTGCGCTTTTCTCTACCGTGTATGAATCAATGATTCCTGTTTTTCAAGGGACAGCTGTTCCAAAGTTGAATGGTTAAGTCACTCATATTTACATTTGGACAGGAGGTGTACAGAAGCTTTAGTGAAGCAGTGATAACACCAGTACTCTCTACAGTACAGTTCCTGAACATTTAAGTCTGCGTACTGTCTTCTCCAAAGGCTGACACCACGTCCAGCCACGGTTCCAGCAAAGGCCTCTTGGTGGCTGGACTGGCAGGCAAGGAAAAGAAATTGCCATTTGGCCCCGGTGACGTGCTTTCGGAGACCACCATGCTGGAGGGGGACATAGTACAGTTCAACATCTGTATCAACCGTGGAACCAAGGCTGAGCGGGCCGTCAATGTGGAGATCCAGCCAGACACCTTTCATCAGTCTAACGAGCTGCGGGAGATGGTAAATGAGGGAATGGGATGGTTCTCATGGTGTCTTGTCGTGGAAAGAGCGGGTGATGTGGGTGTCAGAGGTGGGATACCTGGCAGACAGTGATAGATGGATATATATACACACATACATACACACACACACACACACAAGTTTTTATTAATATATCGTTCTCAAGACCATCCATCCATTAATTCATTTTGGGATTAGGGAAAAACCCTAATCCCAACAATGACAAGCTTAACCACCCTGCCCTGCCCTATCCATAAGTAACCAAGCAAAATGCAACACTTTTGACATTTTTAATTTTTTGAACTAAAAAGTTCGAGTTCTGATCGTATTTTTCCCATAAGAAATAATGGAAAACCAATTAATTGGTTCCCGGCCCCCCAAAATTACACCTAAATGTTTTTTTGTTTTTTTTTAAGCATTTAAACACAAAATGAACAGGTTAAAACAAGAAGAGCATTTTTTTCTTAATGGCTTCCAAAACGATAAAGATCTTATCCCAACATTACCCCTGTCCTGCCCCGATCGGAAGGAGTGTTGAACTTCAGAAACAGCTGTTTCTGGTGGTTGTCATTAGTCCTCTGTATTAAGTCCGCGTTTCAGTTTGTTTCCCCAGTCAGGTCATTGGGTGCGTTCGACTTGCTTACAGCGCTGGCTTAAAGCAATGCATTCTGATCCTGACGCAATGCATTATGGTTAGATGCATTGCGACCTCTCACCCGACTGCACAAACTGGAACCGCCTCCGTGACGACACACCTTTGCCCTTATTGGCTGAAGAGTTTAGTTACACGCATGATGTTTGTATCCCAAGCAGTTCCGATGCGTAATCTGCTATTTCTCCCGAATATCACGTAAAGCAGTGAGAACTGGTTTTCAGTTAATTTACATGGTAAAATAAAGTTTAAATAAATGACATAAATGCTCTAATAGCACACGTAAGTTAGTGGTTTATTTATTGTTAGTTACTGTAATGTTTATTTGGTTAATCATCCAGTCTGTGAAGAAGGCATTCAAGTAAGAATTGCATTGTAGTATGACTCATTTCCTGGTGCGTACAATTTATATTGGGTCAGCGTTCACTGCTCGACTTCTGATATTCAGATCGAGTTCCTGCTCAAACTGGTTTGTTCGACTTTCAAGAAATTTGAGTTCTAGTGAGTTTGAGAACCGAGGTACCACTGTATTGCAAAATAAATTCAACTTCCAAAACTATTTTTCACCTACAATTTTAGCGGTGTAATTGCAGAGCGAGACAAACACTCTGATGCAAACGTATAAAAGCTGGCGACAGTGTAAGCAACTTGCGTAGGTCATGGCAAAGGCTCAATGCAGAAGTGTAATTCCGGCTTTACAGTGTGGAGAACCCTCAGATAGGCTTACCACAGGACTGTTGCATACCCAGAGTGCAGCACAGGGGTGGATTGGTGATGGTTTGGGCTGCAATATCATCTCAATCATGTCACTGCCAAGAACTGTTGGACCATGTACACCCCGTGGTTCAAATATTGTACTCTGAAGGTGGTGCTATGTATGAGGATGATAATCCACATAGTGGTTTGATGAACATGAAAGTGAACTTGAACACCTCCCATGGCCTGCACAGTTCTGAATATTTATTGAGGCTCTTTGGGGTTTTTTGGAGGAGTGAGTTTAGAAGCATACTGATAAATTATTGTGGTCTAAAACCAGATGTTTCAGTTCCATTGCCCAACCCCTGTATGTAGAAATTCCATTAAAGATCAGCCATTTCCAGATATAACTGTCATTTACAACAATAACAATGTCTAAACATTATTTCTGATTAATTGAATGTTATTTTAATTAAAAAAAAAAGGTTTTTTTTTGTTGAGAAACAAGGAAAATTCTTGGTGATTCCAAACATTTGAGCATTAGTGGGTCTACCAAAGCACATGTCAGAATGAGTAACAAACAAGTAAAGAATACCTTTGTGTTCCTCTTCTTTCTCCAGGGTGTTGTGGTGGCCCTGAGGGAGTCATCTGGGTTAATCCAGTGTGACAGAGACCCCTTAATGTTCTTCCACCTGAGTGAAGTCATGGAGGAGAGCAAGCTGAATGTGTCGGACAACGTGGAGTTCACCATATTCCCAGTAGGTTATGCCCCTCCCTCCACAAAACAGGGCAATTAAGGTGTATCCATAACCAACCTATGGTGTATTTTCACCATCTGCACTAAGCAGTTCAAGTATTGTTTGTAGTCTAGGATGCAAGTTTTTGAATCAACAGTTTCAGAAGGGGCACCAAGCAGTGCGGATTAAGAAGCTGCATGACAGAGTCTCCACTACCACACCCAAGATGGAGGGTCACTCCACGGCACCCAGAGACAAGGTTTATTTCTATCTAACATTGGATATTTTGAGACGGTAGATGTAATGTTCAAAACAGACCCAGGAGTGTCAAGGAAGTGCCATGCACAAGCTTATTTGAGCCTTGCTAATTCCTTCCTGGTATGTTTATTTACAGAATAAAATCACAGTCAAAGTCCTCAGGGACTCCGTGAATGATGAGATGGAAAACTTGAAGGTCAAAATTGAGTCATTCAATGCTGATGTTTCTGAAAATGAGTGAGTTTTTTGGGTTTTTTCCCACATAAATCCTCATGTAATATCACCATGTGATGTGGCTCTACCCTGTAAAGAAAGCTAATACCGTTATGTCTCTTTGTTGTAGCAAATCCCCCAAGGTAGATTACGGTGCAGGTAAGGCAGTCAGACTTGACTCAAAGTTGTGGAAACGTGAAGGTATTTGTCAGCTTGTGAACGCTGGAGTAGAAATTGCTGTAGCTTGTGCTAGAAGTGAGAACTGGGAACTCCATGACTGCTTCTTACACAGGTACAGAAAGAAGCATGGAGTCTGAGAGGCATGGCAACAGCAATTGCAGCAATGACCAAAGAGAATGTACTGAAAAGTCCTGGAGCCCAGCCAGAGAACAAGACTGGAGATGCAGCCCCAGGCACAGTGACAGCAGGAGGCGAGTTAGCAAAAGCCAACATAGTCATAGCTATAACGGAATCATTGACAGCAGCAGGAGTTGGAATCGCAGCCACAGCAGGGAGAGGGTCATCCACATGAGCAAACAGTGGGATCGCAGTTATAGTCGTAGCCGCAGCCACAGCAGGGAGAGGGTCGTCGACCTTGATAAGAGACATCATTGCAGCCGCAGCCGCAGCAGAGAGAGGATCATCCATGTTAGTGAGAAGTGGGAATACAGTCGAAGTAGGGAAAGACACAGCGATCTTGGTAGGCAGTGGAGCCGGAGCCCAAAGAAAGAGAATAGAAGCCATAATTATGGCTCTGCTGACGACACAGATGGTCAGCTTTCTGCTGAGGGTCATGAATCAACTAGTGTATGCAATGAGCTAGATGAAGACCTGGCCAGGAAGCAGTGGCAGCAGGACTTGCTTGAAGAACAGATAGCTCGCAGGCGTGCCATCATGGCGATGGAGCTGAAGGGCCAGTCCAAGGCAACTCAGCACAAATCAGAGGAGGACCAGGAGTTCCTGATAGATGAGCTGCCCAACAATGAACATGTTAAATGCAAACTTTCCATGGAGCCAGAAACCAATGTGCATCTCAAGACCTGTTCAGTCCTCTTACCTGTGAAGTCTATTCTGAAGAAGCCTGCTGGGGGCTCTCTGAAGTCGGATGTCCAGCTAAAGGTCTGTTTTGGCTATTTATTCTAATTCATGTTTGTTTGCCATCTTCATCTAAAGGAATGAGTTTTAAGAAAAGAGAATTTAAGTTTAACTTTTATCATGTTATCTATTTATTATGCAATGTAGTATGTATACTACAAATTGCTTCTAATCTTTCTCATGATACTCAAATTTAGTTTAGATATGGATGTTCCATATGTCAATCCAGAAAATTAGTACCTGTAGTAACTAATGGTCTCCCCCCTACAGAATGATGCCGTCGCATCTGATTTCAGGTTGGGTTTTGACCAGTCTTGTGTCAATCAATCTGGTCATCTCCAATCCTCTTGCCAGTCCTTTTATGACAAGTACACATCCTCATCTGAACAAACTTTTGATCACCATCAACATGCACAGACTTTTCATCATTCATCCATGGAAAAGCTAACCTCCAATGAGGATCTTATATGCAACTCTCTTCCTGACCAGCAATCACAAGTTGCCACAAAGAACAAGAGCAACTTGTCAGTCCAGATTGAACGATTTCTCAACACCTTGAACAAAGGGGTTGACGCCAATCTCCTCTCTGCTGTTGTCCGTGAAGCAAAAGTAGCAATGGCAGAATATGAGCACCAGTCACCTCGTCAGGTCTCTCAGCAAGAACTTCTCAATGAAGATCAACACCAGTTTCAGTACAAGAGGAAGCCAGAGATTCCAGCAAACGAGCACAAAGACTTCCTGTTGCCCCACGACAGCAGCATTTCCTGTGGCAAGGGGTTGACACATGAAACTTGGAGGCAGGAAGACTGTCCTGGGACTAGAGTTATGGAGGGGGAAGAATCTCAGTCACTAGAAAACGAGTATCTATACAAAAACATTGTAGATGCTAATTCCTCACAGCCTGCGGGTGGGGAAGGGAACACAGAAGAGGGGACACAGCAGTTTGACAAAATCCAGAATCTACTTCAGACCATTGGTTTGGACTTGGACACAGCAGAAGTCAGCAAATTAGCAGACAGGACACGGGAGCGTCTCTATGGCAAGAAGCAAAAACTGAGATCGTCAGGATCTACGGACACAAAACCTGAATGTACCCTGGGCCTCATGAAGCAGCAGTACAGTGAGCAAGACACCAACTCTACTGTGGAATCCTCTGACTGGGGAGCCTGCGGGACTCATCCAGACAACTTAGAGTGCAGTGGTACCCAAAGTGACATCCCTTCGACTATTCCAGCAAGCCAAGCCTCGGGAACCCTTTCTGCAACATCTTCCTCCCAGTACACCCAGGGGACATTCAAATCTGCTTATGTCACGCAACGTAATCTTGGGTACAGTCATCATGAAGCTGCCTCACGTTCAGTCTGGGACCTTGTACCTCCTCAAACTGAGGCAGATCCTCACCTAATGTACCCTCAACATCAGCATCCTGGCCATTTACCACCTTCTGTGACTCAAGCCCCGCTGCTTTTGGCGTTGTCAATGGGCAATATGCAATCCTTACCCACAACTCATATTCCTGCCATGGCTTCAGCTGCACTCTTGGGTCCCCACCCTAGGCTGCCATCAACTCTTTCTGGGCAACTTGCTGGTAGTTTGGCACCACTGAGTAACCCACTGCTTTCTTATTATGGTACTCATCCTTTCACAGGATTACCTTTGTATCCTTACCAGTCACCAGGGAACTCTGCTTTGGCCTCAATGCAGCATTTGCTGGGGGGCAAAGTGGGCCGTGAAAAGCGAGCCACGGGTTCCCGGGAGATGTTAAAGTCCCGTTGCCTCACTGTCATTAAAACGGTACAGGTGAATGAACCGACTCAGAATGAGAACTCCATAGCTCAGAAGGAAGAGACCGAGACCATGCAGGTGTCTGGTTACACATCGACTCCGTCTCCTGTCACTTCTGCATCAACAGAGAGAATTCAAGTTGCAAAAATATCAGAGGATGACATCAAGGCAAAACAGAAGAAGCGGGTATGAGTTTTGTTATGTTCAGATGGGTTTTGAGCCCAGGTATTAGTCCTTCTGAATCATACACCCATAATACTTGCTTTGCTTACAATCGCTTGCTTTGCTTACAACTGGTTGCTTTCTATTGTGAAAAACAATTGACTCCAAATAACACCTGTGTCATCCAACAGCTTGTGAATACTTAGTGAGCCACTAGTAGATACCGCTGCTGTAGCCAGCTGGTATAGGAAGAGTTTCTAAATTGCTCATAACTGAACCTGGTGCTATTTCATGCAGAACTGGGGACAGCTTAATTTAGTTGTAGCTTAATGTCTGTGAGAGTTTTATTAGTTGAAAAGACATACTATTAGTTATAAGAATTGAGATTTCAATTCAGATAGTTTAAAGTAGCTTGCTTGGTTTAAGATGGTGCCTCAGTTTCAGAGGTAAAATTAGCTTTGTGAAAAGGGGGCAAATCTCTCTGTCAGCATAGCTAGAGGGGATTCTGTTGTAAAACACCCTTGACTTTTGTCATGTTGGGACATCTCTCTAGGTGTGTTGACATAGAGCTCTTCCCTTTGCTGTACCCAGCTGGAGCAGTTTAAGGAGAGGATGAGGCTGAAGAAGGAGCAGCAGAGGGAGGCTCAGAGGACATGCGTGGAAAGCCAGAAGTCCCCAACAGGTACCCCCTTACCTTAGCCAGCACGGCCAGGTCATAAGCAAGATGAGCAGTCAGTCCTAGAAGGTACTAAAGGTTATTGTGCTATCTGACAATTTTTCAGAATGTTGTAAGTGGCTTTCTTCCAGGTGGAATACCTTTTTTAACATGTGTTTGGAAAGGAGGAAATTTTAGCCTGAAAATTAAGCAAAAGCCCCAGCCAAGGCCAGGTGCTGAATATGTAGAAAATTAACCACAGGTTTTTCACCTATGTGTGGGTTTGGTTTGTTGCACTGAGTTTTGCTACAGCATTTTTATCTATTTAATTTTTATCCACACTATTAGGACTCTTTCCCCAAAATGTTTGCCTGGAAACAGAGTCTTGAGGTGACACTTAACTTCCAGTTACCAGCTACATTATGAATTCAAATGAAAGTTTATATAATTTGTGTCAAAATTGTTTGGAATTTGTGTGATTCATTTTTTGAGGGGAAGGAACAAAAAGCACTGAAAATAGTTTTGGAGTTAAAAAATTGACTGTATATGATGTCCTCTGTATGTAAACACAATATGATACTAGTTCTAACTGACGCATGGTAGGAATCCCTGAGAGAAGATGACATCAGGAGCATGTTGATTCCTTTCAAATATGAGTGGAATGAGTATTGATGCTTCAAAACCCATGGTGGATGGGTTGATTATGTCTTCTCAGTCACTGACAGGTTACGCTGACCTCTGATGCGTTGCTTGATCCTATTGGGTTATACCAGGAAGTGACCTACTATGGGTCTGGACGTCTTGTTTCTGTAATCACTCACCCCAGTCCTGTTATTGCATGTGCATACAATCTCACGTAGAGCTATGGATAGTCTACTCAATATGCGCACAAAGCTCTGGTGAGATATTTCAAAGGAATTTCACCCAAAAGTCTGTTGTTCACTGTAAGGTGATATCATAGGTGTCCAAGATAAGATTGTATTATGTTTCAGAGCAGTAATTTTGCTTTCCAAAACATCAAGACCGTTTCCTTTGGCATTAGTTACTTGATGAACTTAAACAGCCTTTGTCACCAAAAATATAAATTGAGGAATACTGTTTGGTTTTCCACATCGTACCATGGAAATAGATGGTATAGGACGGAATTGGGCCTGCATTCCAGGGAGCAGTAGTCCAGTAGCTTTGATTTCTTTTCATGTTCTAAGATTAGGAGCTGAGGTGCAGGATTGATAACGAAGGAGATTTTGAAAACATAAAAAGCAAGGTGAAATAGTCTTTTCAGGCAGAGAGGGCAAGCATTATGGTTTACTGTTTATCATTAAGGGAGCCCATTTCTGAACAGGAAGCAACATACTTTATTGATATAGGATGTTGGTGAATTCAGATTGATTAAATGTTTAATATGCGGGACTTGATACCCACTGTGTAATAAAAATGAGTGCTGTGTAATGAAATGTATAGAGTATATTAAGCAGTTTGTAGTAAAGCAACACAAGCTTTCAAATGGGGAATGATTTCAGAAGTTAGGCAGGCCTCTACATTTGCAGGTTATGTGCATTGACAATACGGCAAGCTTTGGGTAATAGTCTGTCAGCCATTTTCCATAAGCAAAACAAAGTTCTGTCAAAGACTTGCACACCTTTGTTCCTGCTAAAAAGAAGGTTCCCAATGCCGTAAAGGATGTACAAGGTGATCCTGCAGCATCAGTGACCTGGGCAGGAAGGGCCCGAACAGCCCAACCGGGCAGCTTGAGAAACCATAACATCTCCTGTGTTGGCTTTTGCAGGTAGGACCTGCAAAGAGGTAAAGAATGTGTGGATTTGTGGCCACTCTCTGGTGTTTTGGGCAGAGAAGAGGGCTAAGTCTCCTGGCCATGGAGTGCAGCTGGGGATGGACTCAGGCAGGGTGCGTATGTGGTGGAAGGGAACACAGGGCATGAGATGGGAGCAGTTTCTGCCACTAATCCAGCAGCTCAAGGATACTTGGCCCAACCCTGACGTCATCATCATCCACTTGGGAGGCAATGACCTGGGCAATGGTGACACAGAGACACTCCTGACTGAAATAAGGAAGGACTTGGAGTACATGAAGAGCATCTTCCCACAGTGTCTGCTCGTGTGGTCCAGCATCCTGCCCCGCCTCTCCTGGAGGTCTTTGGAGGACACAGAGGCAGCTGAGAGGATGCGTGTCGCAGTCAATGAGAAGGTGCAGGAAGACATCCGCGCATTAGGTGGGACGGTAGTGGACCATGAACAAATCCGTCCTGGCTCAGACTCTGGCTTGTACCGACCAGATGGAGTTCACCTCTCAGGCAAGGGCATTGACCGGTTCAACATGGACATTCGGAACCTTTTGGAGAAGTGGCAGTGCGAGATGAGCCACGGCTCCAGTACGTCTTAAATGTGTTGTTTATTTTAGTGTTTTGTAAGGGCTAAATTCCGAGCGAACCCTGTGGGTTTTTTTAAGTGCTTCAGCAAGAAACTTTTGCAGAATGAAGACTGCAAAGAAAATAAGTACTGCATCAGCATTATGATGTATATTCTGTTTGGTATTCTGTTTGTGTTCTATACAGTTTTTTGTCAGGGAGAGAAGTATTTTGTATAGAAAATCCTGAAGTTTGGAACTAAAATAAAGATGGCATACTCTTGCATGAGTGGGTCATTGCATTTTGCATGACTTGTTTCCTCTTATGAAAGGCTAAGAAAGGAATTCAAGGGGTTGAGTTGCATATTGGACAAGAACTGAATGTGAACTACACCTTGTTCTGTTTGATCATTTTGTATTTAAGCCCCACCTCGTTTTCTGCTGTTTCTGAAGCTGGAACATGATTTCATTTTTTGTTCAGTTCTCCAGGTTACCCAAATCCACACAAACCTATGAGCAAGTGTAGTAGCATAGTGTGGGTACTGCAAAGCCAGTTGACTAGTTAAGAGTAGACCTGTAGTTTTGTTCAATATTGGACAATTTAATTTCCTGTGTTAATGTTCACTAATATTTGGGTGGCTTCTCTAAGGGTGTTTCTTCCTCCTATTTCTTCTCATTCAGTCACTCTTTTCCCTTGAATGGATTTTAGTTTGAATAGATTCAAGCACTGGCCAAGAGAGAGTGAAAGAACAACAGAAAAGATGGAGAAAGGTTTTGCTTGATACACTATGAAGATACAAGTGATCCCATATTACACTAAGGCATGCTGCCCTGGATGTCTCTTGGCAACCTTCAAATTGTACACGCCCACATAATGCACCCTCATTATCTGCAAGAAAATGTCTTCTGTCATTACCTGTGTGAAAGGGATAGATACAGCTCCACAACATTGCTCTGTTTTGTTCAGATTTCTGTCTTCAAGTCATCCATGTAATGATGTTTCTTGTTGTCATTTATTTGCTGTAGACAAGGAACATAAAAATTGTGCATATGTAATTTTTTAACATTGTATTTCAGTGGACTGTAAGATTTAATAGCAGGAATTAGCAGCCTGACGTTGGATTAGGAACCTGGATGTTATTTTGATGGTTTCATATGTCCATGTTCGTGACTGGGATAGAAATACTTGTGCACCAAAATGGTTAAAAAAAGGCACTGCATCAGTGGCTGCTGGGGTTCTTTCACTGGGCAGGATAGTCTTTGCAGGTCTTATTAGTACCCTCTACGGGCCTGTCATGTGCCTGCAGCATGTCAGCTTTCGAAAGTGGGAGGTCTGACATTCTTGCCAAGTCTTGTGAGGCCAGTTGTGTAAAGGCACAGATACACAATTAAGAAGGACAGCAATCAAGATAAAATGTTTCATCTGAAGAAGCAAGAATTTCACGTATTCTGCCAATGACTTGAATAAGGAGGAAGAAACATCTCACTGGATTTGTTAGTCCAAGTTTGTTTTGATTCACTGTGCATCCTGTTTTCTACTTTGTCCTCATCCACTGAAAACACATTGTATATGTATGTTTATAAATGTCAGAATTGTAGATAGTTTATGCAAAAATAAAGCCATTTTCACCCTTGCATCACTTCTGTTGTAATTTGGGCAATAACCTTTCTGAAGCCTTTCTGAAGTTTGGGTGGTAGACAAACAGAGTCTCTGAGTCCTGTTACATTCTGTAGCCTAGTGTGTTTCCTTTTTGTTAACCCCCCTCCCCCAAACTGGAATTCTTTACTTTGTGCCTAAAACATCCAATATTCAGCCACTGTGCCTTAAGCTGTAACTGTTAGCATAGGAAATCAAATAATGGAAGAGCAAATGAAGTGATTTTTATTACTTCCAGCTGCCCTTTTGGAGGCTTGGTGTTGCTGCTGTGTACAGGCCTACAGTGAGCTTGCTTGTTCAGTGTGAGGAGGTAGGAGGGTGACTTGGTATCCATACAAGTACAAAATCACTGAGGATCATTGAAAACAGGCCTAAAAGATGCATGTGGTGCAGGGCAGGGCCACACAATGGGTGACCTTGATTAATCAAGTGATGTGATTTCCAGATCCATGGTCAGTGGTCTATTTGTTTTTAATTTTCTCCACTGTAGATCTGAGGTTGGAGTACTAATGGGTGCATAAAGGAGAAAGTGAAGGACATACCTGACTGCAGCAACTCTGTTCCTTTTAAATATTTACTGCAGGGATCTGTTGTTCACTTACAATATTTAAAAGAGTTTATCACCATAATATATGCATCCATCTTCCAACTACTTATCTAGTATGAGGTTCATAATGATTGGTGGATAATATACAAATTACTTGCCACATTAAAAGTTTAAAGTTTGAGTGTGACATTGAAACACACAAGACTGTCTGACCTGGATGTTTTTCTCTGTTCCTTTCTCGGTACCAGCTTACATGCAGAACCCAACATCAAATTATCCACTTTTTCATTAATTGAGGTAAGTCTCCATCAGTGGGAGGGGGCCTGTAACTGTGTTTACAAGTGTTTTCTTGACCTTTAAATGTTGAAGATGCTCTAGACTCAAAATATGACAACATAATGCACAATTTCTCTTTTTTTTAATACTTTATTGTAGCTGTCCCAACTTAATGACAATTAAAATGTTGAATGCTATGACATGATGTTGCTTATTGAATTTGGATTACATTAAATGTTTCTGCACTGGATCTGCTTTGTTTGTTATTCTGTGTGGACTGAATTTGATCATAGTTCAATTCAGATCAGTTTGTCACAACTAATGAAGGCACTAGCAATGCATCAGATTTGTACATAAGAGTCATGGGTGGTGGCTGTTTGCAGATGATGTGATCTGAGCAATAGACATGGACACAATCTTCATTCTGGACAGAACCTAACATCTGTTCACACAGCTACCTATACACTTGGTACAGACAATTACTCGATATGACCAGGAGTAGTCCGCACACATTGCAGGCTCCTAAGGTGTATCAACATTATTAGAGACATGGATCTGCAGTTTAAAAAACAGATGACAATTTCAGCTCATCTGTCTACACGGTGTTACTGGATTATTATGTTAGTAAAATTAACACTGTTTGGACACAAACGCTGGGCGTACCAACAGCGTCAGAAACCGGCATACGACTTATGTAACGGTATTAACAATCTAAGGAAGTATTACATTTAACATACATTTGTGTAATAAAAAATAAGCTATTAAGGTTGAACAGACATGTAAATGCGGTATTGATGTTCTTCGGTTTAGCGGTACGCTTTTATTTCTGACCGTCCTCAAGTTATTGTAATTGCGTAGCACTTTAAGACAACAATAATTAAATCTTTGACTACATTGCCTGTTGCTTGTTGCTGTAAAATCGAATATATGCAATAAAGTAATCTATGCAATAAAATAAATTCCTTAAAACTACAGAATTCTTTTTATATATTACTATACTTTCATCTCAGTTCCACTTGCAAAATTATACTATATAATCTTGCAAAAACGCTTACAGAGTATCTGCTTAATTAAAAAGGCTACACTTAAGAACTGCACCGCGAGGTTGACGAACTGTGTATGACTTGATGGTACAGAAATGATTCCTGGTGCCTATTTGACATACAGTGCCTATGGACCGCTGGCCCATTCTACAAATCTATTGGCTATTGAGACATGCGTCACCGGGACTCGGTTACCCGATGACTGCGTTCGACCAATGACGAAGGAGGACCAGCAGCGGTTTGTTTGGGCCGATGTGGTGCTGGCATCCAGTGGAGAGCAATCTCTGCGCAATGGGACGGTGTCGCCGTAGCTAGCCGTTTGTGATGCAGGGTGTTGTTTACTTCGTGTGTCCGATCCAAAGCTGCTCTAAAATCATATAGTACGTGTACAGAGAAGTTTTTGCATATTAGTATCGGCCGGCGGTATGTTTCGTGGCCGACCACGGCGAGGAGGAGCATTTCCCTGGGACTTTCATCCTCATGGCCCACCGTCGGGGCCGGCGGCGGGGCTCCGCGGTCCCATTTCCGGTCGCTCTCCGCAGGGCCATGTCCACCCTTTGCACCGCGAGTCCTACCTGGAGGACCGGAACAGGGAGCGCCTTGGCTATCACCACGGCTACCACACCGACTCGGAGAAACCTCGGCGCTCCCCGCCCCGCGGGAGGTTGCCGTCTCCCGGCTTAAGAAGCACCTGGGGCCCGGGAGGCGGGCCTTCTTCCAGCGAGCCCTTCGTTAAAGTAGGTTCCCAGGCATACTGGTCAGGGTGTCAATGTGGCTTTTCTGTGCCCTGGTTGCAGTGGGTGTTGGCACCAGCACAGGCATTTCTGTGAATCGGGTAACACGAGCTAGAGGAGGATTTCTTGATTAACTACTTTAATATGCTAAAAATGATGCTCTCATCATCTCATGCCACCGATGTTTTGATTTCACGGTGCATTGAAGGTTTTTCTTTATACTGCGCACGGTACAATAGTGGTAGTTGTTGTTCTTATTTTTATTATTGCTATTATTATCGTTATTATCATCATTATTATTATTATGCCCTGGGGGGTGTTCCACAAAACAGCATCTCTCAATTAGCTGGGTTAACTTAATATAGAAATTATGGTCGTCCAATAAGAGTTTAGGTAAGGAGCATTCCTATTGGACAATCATGACATCTAGCTTAAGTTAACCCAGCGAACTGAGAAATCCTGCTTTGTAGAACATCCCCTTAGTCCCTGTGATGCCTATTTACTCTTAAAACCAATCAGAGAAGATGCATTTTTTATATCGTAAATATATGTTGATAAATATAATTTTTTTTCTGGTAACTATAACTGAACATGATTCGTCTACCGAACAGAATAAGACTGACTTTCAAACCAAAGTTTTTCAGATGATAAACATTTTCTCTGTTTTATATATGTAAATAAGTTCATTGTCTTGTGTGACCCATCCACAGCGACTGACCCCCTCTCCGTCACGTGGTGGGCCCTCAACTGACCACAAGCTGGCAATCACTGTGGGGAATGACCGGACTGGATTACCTGCTTGGAAATCAGGCCACTCATATGACAGGTACAGTGTTGGGGGGGGGACAAAGTGGCTGTGTTGAGCAGAGATTCTATGATTTCTGACAACCAAAAATATACTGAAGAATCCTTTATCCACATAATATATTTTACTGGCTCTCTGAGTGTAATTACAGACAGGAATGCTATCCATCTTAGATTAATAGTAATTTGTAGATGGTTGTTTTTTGTTTAGATGCTTGGTTAAAGTTAATCACAGAATGCACATTTTTACTGTAAAGGGCAGGAGGAGAAGAAATTCCTGAATGTGAGTCTTTTCTGTTGCCTTGGCAGAGATTATCACTATAAAGGCCAGCACAGTTATCCACCTCCTCCTGAGAAGCGGACAAGTTATGATGGACGTTATGACGACCTTGCATACAGGAGGCGGAGCCCAGGCAGGAGGAGGAGTCCGGGACGGAGCAGGGGTAGGAGTAGGAGTCGTAGTCCTGGCAGGGGACGCAGCAAGAGTCGTCCTCCTAGCAGGAGCAGGAGTCGTGGAAGGAGTCGGCCACGTAGCCACAGTCGCGGCCGCAGTTGGGGTCGGAGCAGGAGCCGACCCCGGAGCAGGAGTCCGAGCAGGGCCAAGAGCCACACCAGAGGGAGGAGCAGGAGCTGCAGTGGCAGCAGCAGCAGGAGTAGCAGCAGCAGCAGCAGCAGCAGCAGTGGAAGCAGGAGGCCAAGAGTATCTCCCTCAAAGGACAAGCACAGCGAAGAATTCAGGGAGCTAGAGTTGGCCCGACGGAGGAAGGAGGTAGAGGAGATGCTGGCCATGCCCAAAAAGTCCATCCTCAAGAAGCGAGTGGACTCTGAGACAGACTCTCCGGCCATCTTGCAGGTTGAAGTTATTCTGTGCTGTCACAGTTGTGTGTGCATTGTTTTCAGTTATATGCTGTTAACTACAGTGGTACCTCAGTTCTCAAACTCATTAGAACTCAAATTTCTTAAAAGTCGAACCAAAATTACCTATAACTCAATCTGTATCTCAGAAGTCAAACCTTGAACGCCGACCTAAGATAACTTGTATGAGCGGGGAAATGAGTCATGCGGCACTTTTCTCAGCGGAAACAAAGGGTAATGCTTCAGTCTCAGCCTCGCATTCGCTGTGATAGCATCGTGCATGTTTATACAAGCTGAATACATATATTTAGACAGTAAAAATACATTAAGACAATGATAGACAGTAACAGTAATTATTATACAATAAAATACATTTAAAAATAAATATTTCTTATTAATTATTTTAATCTTAATAATAAACCATTAATACATTTAATTATAATGTTGTGCCGAGCGGGGACGGAATGGAGACAAAAGTGCAGACGTCAGGGTATCGGGGAATAAGGCAGGCAAAATGCAGACGGACAATACAATGACGAGACTGGGGAAACGAACTGAAATGCAGACTAAATACAGAGGACTAATGACAACAACCAGAAACAGCTGATCACACGGGGATTCCACACGTGGTTAACGAGGGGGCGTGACACACGGAAGGAGCGGACGATCGGGGCAGGACACATTGTTCTTTTAACTTTACATATTGTTTGGATACATTTAT